ATAAAAAATCACGGTTCGCGTGAGGCTCAGCCAAAGGCCCAGTTTTCCGCATCCGCAGGAACGCCACCACCCACATGGATGCATTGAATGGGATTTCGGTCTTTGACCACTTTGGAGTGGGTCTGATCTACTCACCTCCCACCGCTCAGGAGCTGCATTTGCGCCTTGATCCAAGAGGGTGGTGTCGTTCCTACTTAGCAAGGCGTTTGGTTAAATATCCTCTTTTCGGTTATCAGTTGTCTGGAACAAGCTCCCTGAGAGCTTAGGCAGGGGGCGATCTTCTGCTAAGTTCCGGTTTCGCCTAGTGGGCCATTACTTAATTTTTTAAGTAGTAATTCTCCACGGCCGGAATCCGTGATATTCGCATCTAGAGCTTTTTATGTAATATCTATTTAACCCTGCAGTGTTTTCCTGTAGTTTTCTTGAGCAGTGTTTCTGCTACGTATTTCTCTTGTCCCTTTTCATTTCCCTTTCATCTCATCCACCCCTTCAGGAAACTCCCTTGATATGTATCTATGTACTATTACAGTGTTATCAAGAGTACATAATCCCCCAGAGTGTGCAACGCTTGATCCAGCTCTGCATAGGGTCTTGGTCGAGCGTAATCGGATCTTTGCGTCATAATACCGTACACATCGGAGGGGAACCCGGGGAGCCGCGGGTGCTCTTGGATCGAAAACAATGGTACCCTGCCTCGAGACCGGCCTTGCGCTGGTGTGGAGTGTACGCATGACATCAGAAGATCCGATTCCGCTCGACCAAGACCCTGTGCAGAGCTGGATCGGCGTTGCACACTCTGGGGGTTATGTACTACTAGTACTTTGGGAGAAACCTTCAAATACAGTCTACAGGAAATAAGGATAAGGCTGTGTTTACATGAGAAATTTCAACCCGGGTCGAGTTCAGCCCGGGATGAAAGTCTGTACGATAGACAAAAGAGGTGAGAGTTTACATGAAAACAGTTGACCCGGGTCAAATACTGATATGCCGCCAAAAGTCCACTTCTACAGTCCTGTAGGGTCACGTGAATCCGTTCGCGCGAAATTTGCATCTGCAGTGCTGTTCAAACCTGGCGCGAGGTACGCACAGAAGTACGTTTGTACGATTTTCTTGACCCGGGTTGATTTCAACGTTCCCCTTGGGGGGGGGGGGGGTTGAAATCAACCCGGGGCGAAATTTCAACCCGGGTCAAGCGCAATGCGTCATGTAAACGAGCCATTCAACGAGCCATTCACTTTGTGTACATGGCGGGTTGAAACGCTTCATGTAAACACAGCCTATTAAAGGGGCCTATTATCTGTGCAACTCCAGCTCGGGCTGGAGCGAGCGGGCCAGCCCGCCAAGGGTGTTTACATGTGCAAGGCCAGGCTGGTCGCCAGCCCACAGTGAGTTTATAATACGCTGAGCACATGCCAGCCCGATGTGAGTATGCAGCAAACACACTACGACTGCAGTGTGCTGCCCCGGGCTGAAACGCAGAGCTGCAAGCCATACTCAGGTTATAAACCTAAAAACTGTTTTTCCCACACAATGTATTCTTCTGCTGATTTCTTTTCGCGCTGTGGCACATGTTTGGTGTGTTGTATCACCTCGTTTATTTTTTCCTGTTTTTCACATTTTTAGCTGTCCATATCAAAGTATTTTGCAAGCAGTTTCCCTTCCATTTTAATTTAAATCATGCATGTCGACAAATAAACAGTGCTCACTGCACGTCCTTCTTGTTGTACAAAAAGCTTTATAGATTTTCGGGAATCCTCAATATCGGGAATCCTCCTTGTAACTTCCCTCAAAAGGTAAAAGTACCTATTTTGTAGTATGAACGCCGTGTCGACACCATAATAATACATCTCTGGACCGGGCTGGTCTGTTTATAATAATATTATTATGAGCTTTTTCTGGCCCGCCTAGCCGGGATCCCAGGTGCCTCGAGGCGGGATCCCGCCTCGCCGGGCCAGCCCGCTTTCCATGTAAACGCACCACAGGTTTTGTGTGGATTTGTGTACAACCCCGAGATCCCGTCGACCAGCCCGGACTGGAGCTTTATAATCACCCCCTTAGGAGTATCATGTCACTGGTTTACCGTACAGTGCCGTATACTAAATCTTGTACGGGGTATTCTTCATAGTATGGGATATGTACGGGATATGTACGGGAAATCCAGAGCATGTTTCCAGTGACATGTGCAGTATTTGCCTCTCGAGAATGTGAGAATCTGTGTTACTGGGAACCTCTTATTTGACCCACCTAGGTACATCCAGAGTATGGCAGCCTGGAGTTGAGAATTTTATTTTCCAGACATTCGAGACTCAGCACTTCTCCGATTTGCTCATTTGCTCTTCTAATTTTTCACATTTCTCAAGAAATGTTTTCCTAAGGTAAAAAGGAAGGAAACAACAATAAGTAGCAACACAAACTTCAGGTTCTTTGGAAATTTTCCGAAAAGTTTTTCACAAGTACTCTACAACAGCGAAATTTAGTATTGCTGTTCGTCGGTATCATTCGCAATCTATGTTTTCTTTGAAAGGTATTCCTGACTTTTGTGTCTAGGCTAACCACATCTATGACAGTTTCAATAGTTTGTGTATATGTCAGTTATAGTAGTCCGCAATGCTGCTTTTCTAATTCTCATTATGATTAGCATGCAATGTACTACCCGAAGTACTGAATTGACTTCTTCTGTACTCTATATTCTAACGTATCTTCTGCCCCTTCTCCCTTACGAACATACTTCTCATTTTCCATACTTACTTACGAGACTCCCTTCGATAGGCATCTATTTGCCTCTGGAGGATCCGTGAAATAAAAATCAATCAATCAAAAAAAAGTAGATTTTCCTTCTCTTCAGGTGATAGACGGGCAGGAGAAAATTCAAGAAAAAAGGAAAAAATTAAAGGAAAATAATGTTGTCAGTTCACGAAGGGAGTTCGCGACGGCCTTAACACTTGGTAAACCCTCATTCAAGAAATTTATTATCTACACGTGTCTGGGAATTAATCACTATCAGCGAAGTTTCAATAACTAAAACACCGCGTGAGATCTTTGTTGGAATCTATGGAACAATGGCAATAAAGACAACAGATATAAAGAACCCCAGAGTTTGTTCAGTGACCAGATGGATAGACAATAATAGGAACAACCTTTTACTTCTCAACATGTCTCTTTTGGAAGCGGAGAAACTTGGCTCAGCCAGAACGCACTGGCATGGCTGGACGTTGTCGACAGATGCATAATCCTCATTTGATTGTCTCTTATGAGCTATAATTATGTGAAGGCTACAATGTATGTCACGTGACAGCCTTTCTACATAGCATGCCCTAGTTTCATAGTTTGACAGCAGCATACCCTGGATCATGCACCTTCTCGTTGTTTGTAATGTCCTTTTCATGTGTTTCCTTCCTCGATGGGGCAGTGTTAGTGAAGTGTAAAACAAATAGGACCTAGACATCATTCAGATTGGATGAAGCAGTCACTCTCCACTTTATTGAAGAGACTGATGAACGGATAAGAATCTAAAGTCTCGAGAGATGAAGCCCAACAATATGGAGGAGACTGAAAGCAACAATATCCCAAAATAGCAGGCTTTTTGTTTTCATGTATGTACCGCCATGCTTGTCCGATATCAAAGTGATGAAGAGTCGTGCACCCGTGATATGCACACCTAGAGTGTTGGATGAATGGATCCGACTCGAATTCCATGCACAACCCAGGCACCCTGGCCCTACAACTGTATGTCGCTCGACAGCAGCGTGCGTAGGGTAGGGAGACAATAATACCCGAATTGACCGGCACTTCTTTTTCTTTCTTTTTTCAATGTGCACGAACTCAACTCGTAAAATAATAACGTAAGATAATGGTATTGAGACTAGGACAAACGTGACAACTACTTCTTCTTCCCCAACTAGTTCGTAATCCTTGGCCAACTCGCGATAATGGCGTTGACCTGCTGACCTCACGCCCGGTTAAGACAAGCGATGTCATATTATTATACAAGCGTGCATGGGCCCTGTCCTACATGTACTCTTTATCCTATAATCCTATAATAAGCATGGCAACCCCAGTGTGTGTTCGAATGATCAGTCCACCACACTTGCAGTGGCGGAGGCGCATATAGAATAGATATTTTGCATGGTTAGGTGCTCATTTTCCGTGTTAGTTGTACAATTGTCTTTGATTTGCTTTCTCTCATTGTTACCCAAATAAATAATTGTTTTCCTTGAAAAAAGTATCCTTTAATCTAAACTGTACCTTGGCTTCATGATACACTCCTACGATCTAGATGTGAATTTGCGCGCCATATACTCGTCTGACCAAACACAACTCCCGTTGCACAGTCACTTCCGAAGACAGATATTGCACACAGACACGCACACACCCACACACACACACACACACACACACACACACACACACACTAAAACACACACACACACACACACACACACACACCCGCAGGCACAGAAACACGCTCACACACACACTCACGATGCACATATATATCCACACACACATGCACGAACTCACCGCATACGGCGATGCGTTTGGACTTCACCACATGGTCACATCTGTCTACTTACATGCTATTTTGTGAGTGGAAAAAGACAATGGACGGAACTTAACAATAAATTCAATACAATTCATTCCATCTGCCGACCACATTTCCAGGCTGCTCTCTGCACCACATTGTCACAGTCGAAAGTCTCAGACGGTCGAAAACTCCAGACGCGCTTGCGCGAGAAACGATGGAGAGCCGCATCTGGGGAAAAGCTACAAAACACCCTCATAAGTTGAGACCTACGGGTCTGATTGTTTGGTGTTTGCCGTGGACACGAGCAGATCAATACTCCTGTTGTTTGCGTATGTGTACAGTACAATCAAGCCATATAGTCCTGTGTTAGTGGAGTGCAGTCACATACTTAGGTACATGTATGAGGCACCAGTGTTGCACTCCCCCCCCCCCCCTGCCCCCTCCCCCCCCCCCACACACACACAAGAAACACAATCAAGCGTCATAGTGCCACGCACATTGCGGATATTACCGGTATCTGATGATTATGCCTGCTGCGTCGAAATCTGGTCAGCCAGACTCTACAGGAGTATCTAGTTGTCTAAGAGCAGTGTGTTGAAATTCATTGATGATCGAAATGGCTGAGATGATCAGAATATCGTGACCTCGAGAAAGTGCTAGATTCATCTATCCGGTAGAGACCCTCCAGTAAGTTTGCCATCATTGCAAGCACAGTTGCATAGAAATGTCTAGTAACGATATAGGGTGATTTGGCTTTCGACAGTCTATTGTTTGAGAGCCAGCAGCCTGAAAATCCTTGAGTCCAGGGAGAAGGGACGACTGAACTGGCCGTGGCATGGAGTCCGTTGCTTGGGTATTAGCCGTGCATTTCCTGCTGCTAACGTTAGGTGCGATCAAGACAGTTCGAGGTGCACGGAATGGAACAAACTCGTATGTAGAATACACTAGTAGGTATTCGGAGAGTGGAAAAGGTAAGTCCATATGCGTGTGATGATGACCATTATGATGATGACCGTTCCATTTCGGTAATCTAAACGGGATTGGCGTCCCAGTATCAAGTGCAATTGCAGTGGTACCATCCACACGGTTTCGCTAGGTGAAATCTAACAGAGCTGGTGGGCTGCAACAGGTCTCATTACAAGGAAAATCATTTGCGTTGCCGAGGGTAGTGTATTGATGGTGCAGGTGTGTATGCTCTGAAGCATTCGCACCACTTCCAGACCGTCAAGAGCTCTGCACGTCTACAGCGCTGATTAGGTGCATAACGTCGGTTGCATACTTTATGCCCAATGGGAATTTGAACAGGCACAAGCCGGTAATATAAAAAATATGTAGTTGGAGTGGTTTTCTTTTGTGGCTCTCCATGCTGCAATCCAGAACTGAATTTCATTCAAAAGCTGGTAGCGTTGTAGAAAAAAAATCAAACCCATATAATTATACAATATCATCATGAGGATGAAGAAGATCACGGAAGAATTTCAAAGTCTCGGTAATCGAGTTCTGCACTATCATAGGCAGTAAGCGTTAGAACGCCAATTTCACAGTGTGCTACCATACGAATCGCAATTCTGCACCTGGAGAACCTTTCCTAGGATGCGTTGTGTTGAAACAGACACTCCATTAGCTGACGAGCGGGCGACTCATAAAGGTAGACACAATAAAAAAAAACACCATAACCTTGCAGAAGTCTAGCACATGTCCAGCGTGTTCTGTTACTACCTTGACTCCTATGAAAAGCGCACCGCCGGCTGGTCATGATGAAACTGGTTCCGTGAAGATTTTGTCTGGCGTGAATGGAATACAGCGACCCTTTACCAGTGAGGATCATGTTCTGATTCCTTTCATATAAAGAAAAAGACCGTCGAAGAATTTAGGGAGCTGCATTTTGCTCAGGTGATGTGGTCAGGACCTGTTGTGCAGTAATCTTCTATTTTTTTCCATGAAAGTGCACATTGCTATGCTTTGTGTAATTCCATCTATATGTGAACAGGTGGCGAGGTGACATTTATTTCTTTGTGGCCTTGTTTCTGTGCAATTAGGAACTGGATCGCTGTGCTCGAGTGGCCTGGTCCTGACTATAGGCTGTGCACTTGTGCTTTCGACCGTTCTCCTATCGATTATGCTCATCTTGTTGGGACGCCAGTACATGCGCGTCAGCAGACAACTCCATGCCCAGAACTTGAACACTAAAATCAACCCTCAAAAGGTCTCCATATCACCGCCGTCACCAGATTCCGCCGCCCCTTGCCTTGCCGATTGTGAAAATGAGCCATACTTGTCCTCTCTATGCGCACCATGCCAGGACCAAGCGTCGTCGTCCGAAGAGCACAGTCACGTGACACGTAAAAGTACGTCTACAAAAAACGCTCCCGGTGCATGTTCTGCAGATGTTCACAGCACTCAGCACTACGACTATGGTAGCCAGCCAGCTCCAGTGCTCACCGATACAGGACAATTCAAGCGCACGAATGGTGGCTTGGAGGGAAACAAGCACGCACGCCCAAGTAGCGTCAGCGAGAAGCATGGTCATATAAGCCAAGGTGAAGAAAACCAAGCACAACTGGTGGATGCGTCGTGTGTAGTATGCCCAGCTAATCAAAAGTCTCATTACGAGGTCGAGGAACAGGAGCATGTCACTGATGCAGTTGGACCTGAATGTGGCGGCTTGGAGGTAAGGCCATGCACGAAGATCAGAGGTCTTGCCAGAGGCGACAATGTATCCAAATCAGGGCCTAAAAGTGCCGCCCACAGCATGTTGCAGAAGGGCACAGCTGCCAATTCACCTCGCCTGTACGAAATAGATGACTTGGAATATCATAGTACGGCAACTGGCACTAACGACTCGCAACAATCCAGTCCAAGGCAAATGGTGCCATACTTCGACCTGCTTCCTAAACGGTTAGACTCAGAGAGTCGTCCACTGTCAAGGGACATAGAGATGTCTGGAACATCTGTTCCTACGAAGAAAACTGGCACAGATGTCTCACGATTGGTCAGACCAACCGCTGCGGCAACAGTGTTGCATAAACCACTGCCACAACGGCATGGCGGACGCGTTGACCCATCCACAAGGCAGAAGAAAAGATGTCGCAGCATGGACAACATTCTATGTAGTGGGACTGATCCGTGTTCATCCGTGCCTGGTGGTCAGCACACAGAAAGGTCGTCCAATATCTCCGACCACTGTTATGAAGGTATGGACGTTTGCAGCACAACCAAGCAGGGATTAACTTCCCTTTCGGCTGGATATCACCTCCCAGCTGTAGGCAACTGCCAATTCCCTCAAGCTGATAGACGTGCACCGACGGATTCGGTACTTCCTATCCCCTACCATCAGGTCCTTTGTCAAGTATCTCCACTGCGTGGTCTGGCGCCGAGTGATCAAGTTATACTCCAGGCTAGCCCTGTGTACGATGAAGTCACACCAACAACTGCAGCCAGTTGGGTGTGAAAACTAGGATAAATATTCCGTATACAATAATGTACACTTGACTTCAGCGTTCTCCTCAAATTCACACAATGTTCCAAGCATGACATCGTTCTTTTAGATCACCAGATGTCCATACATTTGTACATAGCTTTAGCATGAGTGATAACATGATCTACTGAGGGTAAATAACACATGCCTTAGCTAGTGCGAGCGATACCTAAAGAGTGTCTTGTTGATTAAAAAAAATATTTTCATCTCTTTTCAATGCTTTCTACAGTTCTTAAACAAAATTAAAATACTGCCTTTCAACTTCTTGAATCTCACTTACCCAAATACTATCAACTCACATTCATTTAGACCTTCTATCATATTTTTGCTCCGGATTGAATCGAGTTTGCACCCAACCAAATTTTAGAAGTTAGGAAGTAGGTACCGTGTGTAGCGTGTCCTCTGCTACCAGATAATGTCTCACAACGACTGCCTGCTGGAGAATAGACCGAGGTTATGCATAATGTAAGAATGTAGGTATAACCAGGCACATATTGCAAGGTTTCAAGCACACGACCCATATTATTTAAACCTATGTGCTGTGCTGGCTGTTTTGCATGTGCAGTTCTACACAGCTAAAAACAACGCCAATGTACATATTATGCACCCGGGAATCTTATACCCTACAAGAGGTATGAATATTGCGCTCTATTTTGTTTTCATATCCGACTGGACCACTTTGTATGTACTTCTTCTTGAAGTACATTCAAAGGGAAATCGTTTGGGGCGAAATTGTTTGGACATTTTGCATATTCACTCACCACAAAACCAGCTTGGACGAATATTCTTATGGCTTGGAATACAGTGAACCTTCAGATAGTGGAACACCTCCTCTAGCACTAAGGGCACGTGCCCAATACCCGTTCAACATTTTTGCTGACCGATATTGCGAAAGTGACTGAAATCTTGCACGCAGTTTTCGATTTATTTGACGACGAGGGGAACAGTGAAATCAAGTGCTTCACGAAGCCAGATCAAGAAAACCCGGTCGCGCGGATCACAAATTCCCGGTCGACGAGTACAGTTCACCAAGCACTTTGAATCCTGGTCACACACGCAATAGCCCTGACGTATCACCATTCATCTTCACAGTTCACGTTGTAGCCATGCAGACAAAGACTATATTTTACAAGCATGGAGCACGAATACTAGTCAAACGAGGCTCTTGATGAAGTGAGAAACAAGGAGTCGTTGAACAGGTGTATGTAACTCTCTGGTGCGAAACCTGCCTTTGCGTGAAGTGCGGCCAGCCGGTCAACTTCAAGCAACCTTGCTAGCATGCTCGGCACTCCTACGTCACTCCTTGCCATGTAAGCAATGTTCCTGTCTGGCTGTCCCTGGTGGACCATGTTCGCGATGAGCGAGGGAAATGAACGACAAGATTGAACTGTCGTCACTGTACGAGGGAATAGCCCAACATGGCTTAAGTAATACTGCTAGCGAACTGTGGTGCGGAATTTTGCATGAAATGTAGTGTAATATCGTGTCGTGATCCAGAAAGGGTTATGATACGTCATGAAGTACGTAGTTTCATCATTTCTCTCGCCGTTAATTCGAAAACGGCAGACCAGACTTCAGTCAAACTTGAAACAATATGGTCGTGGCAAAGAGAAGCTTTTTGTTTTGAATAAAATGTGATCAGCGCTGCTTATCTTATTATTATTATTATGAACAGTTTCGCGTACTTGAGGACCAGCCTCTTTCCGCCTCTGTGTTCCTGAGCAATAGAAGGAAAGAGACAAAACTATACTATTATGATGATGACATGGGAAGACATGGACTGCAAGGTACGGTTTACAAATCGACAATAAGCAAATAGCACTGAGAAGGATGGGCAACTTCTGTTTCGTCAGTGTTCACTGTGCGTTTTTTACGAAGGCCTTCCACACTTGCCTGTCGGATGCCTTCTGCCGGAGGCTCTGCAGATGCGGGCTCCTCTTGAGTGGCGTTTGTCTGTGGACGCAGTCTTGCTGGATCTGGGTGACTAAAGTAGTCAGAGGTCTTCCTGGTTTGGCTGTGTTCGGTGGATTGAAGTAGAGTGCCATGGCTTGTTGCGGTGGTGTGTCTTCGGGTAGGCGTAGGACATGTCCCAGCATGGTCATTCTTCGTCTGTGGACTTCCTCGGAGATAGGCTGGCTCTGACATCTCCGGTATAACTCGAGTATAACTTATCTTATTGAGAGTCACTAACACACTTTGTTCCGGGGTTTGGAGTAGAGGTTTCAGATCGGACGGAGCTTCGCGCTCTCCCGTGCATGAGAGAGTTTGGCCGTTCTTCAGCACAATGGAGTGGAAAAATGTCAGATATGGGTACCTCAAGAAAACCAAAAATCGGTGACATGTTCTGAGTGATAAAAGAGGTGGTCTACTATCTGCCGGTGTGAAGTTCAGTATCAGTGCGGACGTAGCAGTCCTCACTTATTAATCGCTATTTTCTAATGATTTTCAGTGGCGTCAGGAGTTGCTGCTCCACTTCTTCTGGGATACTGGTATCGCTAAAGCTGTGGTGCTTCAGGAAACTCTACAAGGTGAGGCAATGAGGGCTTCAAATTAAGTTTATTCCCGTAGCTATGCAGAAGACGTTACTTCAGTAACGTCTGGCGCTAGCCAGGGTCCACACAGCTTTAATTCCCGTAGCTATGCAGAAGACGTTACTTCAGTAACGTCTGGCGCTAGCCAGGGTCCACACAGCTTTAATTTGGTGTTTGTTTGTTTGTTTGTTTATTTGTTTGTTTGTTTGTTTGTTTGTGTCACGCCTGGCGCTATCCCGTATCTGTCCCGTACTGTACCGTACTAGCAAAGACAGCTGGCCCCGATATTTTTGTTTGTTTGTGCCATCGAAATGCCTGGCGCTATCCCGTACCTGTCCCGTACCATCAAGGGTACGGTACCAACAAGAGAATGAGTATATATGCGAAGTGTATCGGGGGAATGCATTCAGTGCAGTAACATTTTGTGTGGATTTGTGTGCGAGGCCGAGATCCCACTAGCAGGCTGGCTGGGCCGCCTGTCGACCAGCCCGGGAATCACATGTAGGCCGATAGCATAATAATTATAACGTATATACAGTCATGTAGATGTATAGCAGGGAGTCATAATTATTATGTAAACGACTCCCTGCTGTATGGAAAGAAATACGAAGTAGGGAGACGAGTAAATACAATCAGAATGGATGTTAGTTGCCGTCAGTATAATAATAATAAGAAGAAGAAGAACGCCCGTGATCGGCAGAGTCAGCGCCGGTCCCAGGAAACGTCAGGACAGACATCCCGTCGACTCCAGAACGCCCGTGATCGGCAGAGTCAGCGCCGGTCCCATAGCTATGCAGAAGACGTTACTTCAGTATCTCATTAAACTGTTTTTGCAATACAATGATGTAGCTAATCAAAGGAAAAAGCATTTCCATCAGTTCCACCAACATGCACGATGAGCTAGGCAACAAAGCATAGCGCAGGGCCCTGAGCTTCCAAGCTCTCTCGTTTGGTGTTTTTTTGTGTGTTTGTTTGTTTGTGTCACGCCTGGCGCTATCCTGTATCTATCCCGTACTGTACCGTACCAGCAAAGACAGCTGGCCACAATATTTTTGTTTGTTTGTGCCATCGACATGCCTGGCGCTAACCCGTACCTGTCCCGTACCATCAAGAGTACGGTACCATCAAGAGAATGAGTATATATGCGAAGTGTATGGGGGGAATGCAGTCAGTGCAGTAACATTAAATTTTGTGTGGATTTGTGTGCGAGGCCGAGATCCCACTAGCAGGCTGGCTGGGCCGCCTGTCGACCAGCCCGGAAATCGCATGTAGGCCGATAGCATAATAACAAGAGTACATAACCCCCCAGAGTGTGCAACGCCTGATCCAGCTCTGCATAGGGTCTTGGTCGAGCGGAATCGGATCTTTGCGTCATAATACCGTACACATCCGAGGAGAACCCGGGAAGTCGCGGGTACTCTTGGATCAAAAACAATGGTGCCCTGCCTCGAGACCGGCCTTCCGCGGGTGTGAGGTGTACGCATGACATCAGAAGATCCGATTTCGCTCGACCAAGACCCTACACAGAGCTGGATCGGCGTTGCACACTCTGGGGGGTTATGTACTCTTGATAATAATTATAACGTATATACAGTCACTCAATCTGCGGACAGCATGCTGTTTCGTTCTTTTTGAACTCATCAGCGCAGCACAGAGAAAATGAGGCCGAACCTGATAGCAATGAAAATGAAAATTTCCAATCAGGCCAGAACGTACCTTGCCAGAGTGCTCAAACTGACAAGTCAGTCATGTAGATGTATAGCAGGGAGTCATATTATGTAAACGACTCCTTGCTGTATGGGGAGATTTTCTGGAAAGAAATACGAAGTAGGGAGACGAGTAAATGCATTCAGAATGGATGTTAGTTGCCGTCAGTATAATAATAAGAAGAAGAAGAAGAACGCCCGTGATCGGCAGAGTCAGCGCCGGTCCCAGGAAACGTCAGGACAGACATCCCGTCGACTCCAGAACGCCCGTCATCGGCAGAGTCAGCGCCGGTCCCATAGCTATGCAGAAGACGTTACTTGTACTTCAGTATCTCATTGAAACGTTTTTGGAAAACAATGATGTAGCTAATCAAAGGAAAAAGCATTTCCATCAGTTCTAACAACATGCACGATGAGCTAGGCAACAAAGCATAGCGCAGGGCCCTGAGCTTCCAAGCTCTCTCGTTCCCGTAGCTATGCAGAGGACGTTACTTCAGTAACGTCTGGCGCTAGCCAGGGTCCACACAGCTTTAATTCCCGTAGCTCTGCAGAAGACGTTACTTCAGTAACGTCTGGCGCTAGCCAGGGTCCACACAGCTTTAATTTGGTATTTGTGTGTTTGTGTGTTTGTTTGTTTGTGTCACGCCTGGCGCTATCCCTTATCTGTCCCGTACTGTACTGTACCAGCAAAGACAGCTGGCCACAATATTTTTGTTTGTTTGTGCCATCGACATGCCTGGCGCTATCCCGTACCTGTCCCGTACCATCAAGAGTACGGTACCAACAAGAGAATGAGTATATATGCGAAGTGTATCGGGGGAATGCATTCAGTGCAGTAACATTTTGTGTGGATTTGTGTGCGAGGCCGAGATCCCACTAGCAGGCTGGTCTAGATACATGACTGTATAAACGTTATAACGTTTATAAACGTTATAACGTTTATAAACGTTATAACGTTTATACAGTCATGTAGATGTATAGCAGGGAGTCATATTATGTAAATGACTCCCTGCTGTATGGAGAGATTTTCTGGAAAGAAATACGAAGTAGGGAGACGAGTAAATTCAATCAGAATGGATGTTACTTGCCGTCAGTATAATAATAAGAAGAAGATAAACTCCCGTGATCGGCAGAGTCAGCGCCGGTCCCAGGAAACGTCAGGACAGACATTCCGTCGACTCCA